CTGTGGCTCTCGAGCTACATGCGATTCTTTGGCCCCTTGAATGTGGCTCTTCCACAAAATACCACATGCGGGCGCACATACAGTGTGATTGAAATTTCGTGGCCCATGCGCAGAAGTCGGTTTTTGGCTCTCAAAAGAAACTTCAATCGTAGTACTGTTGATATTTGGCTCTGTTCACTAATGAGTTTGCTGACCACTGGCTTAGGATATTTGGCAGGTGCTGATTGGTGCTTCAATGTGTAGTCTATATAAGGTACCCGGTTAGGTACTTAGGAATGTCAGGGCCACAGGTGCAGGTTATGTCATACTCTGTCCACCAGTTGGGGGAAGGGAGGATCTATCACATATGTGTGTATGAAGGAATTGTGATTTTGCTTTACTTTTCTATACTTTCCAAGTTTTTTTAGTGACCATATATATACTTTAATATTTAAAAAACCCACTTATTTATTTATTAAATGTAAATTTTATTTTTAAATTCAATGCAATAAACCATTTTTAACTTTATTGTTGTATTACATATGTCCCCCCTTTTCCCCATTGACCCCTTCTATCCAGCCTCTGCCCCCTGCCCTAGACCCCCACCACCTTATTGTCTATGTCCATAGGTTATGCATATATGCATTCAAGTTCTTTGGTTGATTTCTCCCACCCATCCCATGATGGTGAGATAAAGAAAAAGAGAGGGCAGTAGCTTGAAGTGGACAAGGATAGAGAAAGGGTTTTTGAAGCTACAGGCTAAGGGGAAGATATCAGGGAGTTAGGGGCAGAGGAGGGTTGGAGAAGTGTTCTTTCATCCAAAATGAACTAGCTTTCCTAGGAAAGACTTGTTCACCCCCTGTGCATCTGGGCCTTAAAGTGGCTTGTTATGTGCCAGTCACAGCATTTGTGTAGCTAATGACTACAATGGAAAGTATTTGCCTGAGAATTCTGTCATTACTGTGTATAACTATCATCATTACCAAATATTTGCTAGTCACCTCTGGAGTGACTGCCTTTATGCTAATTTGGGAGCCGGTGACAGTGGGGGTTGGGGTGGAGTAAGCTTAGAAGGAGAGACTAAATTTCGAGAAATAAAAATGTAAACAAATGCAAAATCACTGTGGCCTGGGTGAGGTGGCTAGGGAAGGCTTAGAATAATAGATTATTAGAGTTGGGAATTGAAAGGCCTAATTCTCTTAACCCTGCGATTTTGAGAGTAGGTGGTACTTAAACCAAGCCTTGAAAGGCCTGCAGGTCTTGAAATGAGCTGAGCTCAAGAGGTGGGGGTTTGGGGCAGTAAACAGAGGTAGCAAAAACCAGGGGTGTGTGATAAATGGCGGCCAGTGAGGAGTGAGCATTGTTTGCAGGCTTCTTTTCTAGCCCCCTTTTCCTCCTTTTACTTTTTTCCCCATCACCAATATTTATTGAGCATTTACAGTGTACTAGGCATAGTAGAACATATAAGAAAACATTGTGCCTGCTCTTGAGGAGCTTACATTCTAAAATAAAAAAACACACATCTTTTAAAATGGTATTTTTTTATTTTTTTATTTTTTTAAAATATATTTTATTGATTTTTTACAGAGGGGAAGAGAGAGGGAGAGTTAGAAACATCAATGAGAGAGAATCATCGATCAGCTGCCTCTTGCACACCCCCTACTGGGGATGTGCCCGCAACCAAGGTATTATACATGCCTTTGACCGGAATCGAACCCGGGACCTTTCAGTCTGCAGGCGGATGCTCTATCCACTGAGCCAAACCGGTTTCGGCTTAAAATGGTATTTTTATTTGGTGTTTTTGAAAGGTACTTAGGAAATAGTATGTAGGGAGAACTTTGGGTATAATTTAGCCCCATTATTTAAAGAAGAGAGGAAGAGCGGTTTGAAAGGCAGCCAATGTCAGACCATTCATAGGTAAAGTTTCATAGGGAGATAAAACAAGGAGACGTTTGCTGCAGCAAATATGATGAGGGAAATAGTTGATGGGATGCAAGCAAAGGAAGTAGGGTATCCTTAGACATTGAGTGAAGCCAGAAAGATCATGAGGCTTTTTTTCCAAGTACATGGCCACCAAGTAATAATGGTTGGTGACAGAAGGCTGAAAAAGATAATCCTGTGTGCATCTGACAAATGGAAAGAATAAAGGATAAAAGTTGAAGGCATGCTATAAGAGTATCAAGAAATTCTTAAAAACAAAAGCAATTGGAAAGCACAAAACTTACAGTTAATGCTATCCAATGTCATGATGGGCCAAGAACATTGTGGCTTCCAAGTTAGAAAATGCCATATACTAAAAATTTAAATGGAACATATTATTGTTTCCAATCAATCCTCACACCTCTAAAAACAAACAAACAAATAAACACAACACCCTTTTTTAGGAAGTTTGGGGGCTGGGAGGATGGGGAGTATGGGATGTGGTTGGGAACAGTAGTTCTGTTAGTAGTATTTTGTTATGATAAACTTTGTATTGAAACGTGGTAAAAGCCCATTAGCTGTCAAGAGGGAATAAGGAATACATTTCCAAAAATGTATAATTTCCTTTAGAGAAAATTTCAGAACCAAAAGACTAATTTACATGAAAAGCTGTAGAAAAGTAGTTGAAAAGTCCATTCATAAAATTTTTATTCCACTTACATGAACTTAATACACGTGTTTTTAACAATTATGCTTAGATTGTTCATGAAAATTTGATAAGACATTAAACAAAGCTAGTCATCATCTCAAGTTATCTCCCTGTTAATTGTTTTTTATAGCACATGCATGTTAGGCAAGTATAAAAAAAATCACAAAAGCAAAACAACAACAACAACACAAAAAACAACAATGTAAAGAAGTTAAATACATGTGTGTTTTTTTTGTTTGTTTTACTGCTATGCTTGATATATATGAAGTAATGGATACCAAGCATTTCATTTTACTGCATCTTTACTTGTACATTTGTTTTTGGGTTGCCTAAAACATTTAAATACAAATAAAATGAGTGAAGCAAAAATAATGAAAGCAAACAGCAGGCAACTTTACAAATAATGGAATGTGTACCGTTTCTGCCTTTATTCAGAGTGAATTGGGTCACAACTAAAGGAACACTCTGCAGCTGTGGTCGAAGGTGTGTGTACTGTGACTGAGTATTCCACAGATACACACATGGACTACCCATTGGGATATCCACTTCTAACACAGCACTCTAAGTGCTCCAAAACTTAAAGTACCCACAACAACTACATCTGTGACTGGAACCAATTATCCCTTTTATTCCCCCCAGGATAAACCAATATATAGGCAGTTTTTGTTTTTTTTCCGCTTAGACATGGAAGCAATTTTAACACTGGCCCTGTGAAGCCACAATGTACCAAAAGTACTATACCAAACATTTATAACTCATATAAAAATTCTACATCTCCATATTGGCCACCTCAAGATGAAAACATAACTCCCTAAATGTTAACTGGCTCTACTCCCCAAATATTAAACATAAAAACCACATGGGAAATATAGAAATTCAAATAGAAGTAACATAAACCTGTCATAAATTGTAAACAAAAAACTATTTGTGGGATAGCATGACTGACAAATGGCCTACTGTGTAAATTTTAGAATGAGGCAGACAAAAATTTGAAGGCCGGTTAATTTTCTCCTCGTGCTTCAGCTTCATCTCCTTGGGTATCCAATGTCCGCAATATCAAGTTGTCGCTCAGTAGCTGCATTATTAGTGTGCTGTCTTTGTATAACTCTTCACTTAATGTATCAAGTTCAGCAATGGCTTCATCAAAAACTGTCTTTGCAAGAGAGCAGGCTTTCTCTGGGGAGTTCAGAATCTCATAAAAGAACAGAGAAGTTAAGGGACAGACCTAATCTGATAGGATGTGTTGGTTGCATTTCCTTTTTGCTGATTTCCAAACTTCTTGGTATGCTTGCTGTGACTGGTCCACAATCCCTTTCTTGTCATCCCCAGCAGCAACCTCAATTTTTTCTCTGTATTCTCGAGCCATCTGTTGTTTTTCCTCAACACCTGTCTTTTGCTCAATACTTGAGACAACCCTCCAAGATGTCCTAGGGCTCCTACAACATTTTTATAGGCAACTGAGAGAAGATTCCTATCCTCATTGGATAATTCAACTCCTTGCTCAGTTACAGACTTCACGCTGGCTGCCATGTCATCATCATATTGCTCAGCTTGCCCGGCCATTTTTATCCATGACTGGATTTTCTGTAGCCAGAGTGGGTGGAGGCGGGTGGACGGACGGATGGACGGACGGGGTATCAGCAGTCTCTGGGCAGCAGCGGTGGCGAGGCTGAGACTGTCTCCTCCCCCACCCCTTCATTTTCACCTGAGTCTGTTGCCTGGCCCGTGTGACTTACGTGTACATGAGGTAAACTTCCAAATCAGTTATAAAAATCTCTTTCATTCAAGGTCATCCTGAGGCACCGCTCCCCACCCCAGCCCAGCCCAGGTTCCGGCAGTCACTGGCTTCCTCAAAGCTCACTGCTGCGCCCGCCTTCCCAGGCCCACAGAGTAATTTAATCTAAGCTTTTAGCCAAAAGTATAAAATACATTAAAGACCCAAAAATTACCATTCTGGAGATTTCAATTCTTTAGGCCTTGAATGCAAACGTGTGCTTTTCTTCTTAGGTTTGAAGTCACCGTGGGCTCCTGAAAATAGTTTAGCAGAAAAAAAACACACACCCCACAAAACAAAAAGAAACAGCCGCCTCAACATCCTGACTACACAGCAAGTGGGGAAAACTGAAATACTCTAAGTATCAAAAATAAACCTCTGAAATCACATTGCTTACCTTGACACATACTCTGCTGAGGGTCCGGCGTGCTTGTGTGCAGGGGACCACGCGGGCGGGGCAGGCGCGCAAGCCCAGCGGGAACAGCTCACAGCTGCCAGGACCCCAGGAGCCCGCCCCGCCTCCCGCTGGCGGCTCCAGCTAGTGGAGGCGGTGCTGGAAGATGTGTCTATGTGTGTGTGTGCTGTAGGCCAGGGCAGTCTCCCGTGGAGGACCGACTGGCGTCAGGTTGGGAGAGGGCAGCACTAGGGCCCCAGACTGCAGGAGGCTGGGGGGGAGGGTGTGTGGTGGGCTCCAGAGACCGCCGTGGCCCAGACAGCTGGCCCAGGCCTGAGCGTCGGGACGGCTCTGCAGGAACCTGGTACTCTGCTTCCCACAGGGAGGGTGCAGCTGCTTTGGAGCCTCCTTCCTTGGTGGACCGAAGGCCCCTGCAGCACCTGGCACCTGGCACCGGGCACCGGGCACCCAGTACCCAGGACGGTTTCACTGAGGGGATTGGAGACGTGGCAAGATGAGGAGCCGGAGTAACTCGGGGGTTCGGCTGGACGGCTATGCTAGGCTGGTGCATCAGACCATCCTGTGCCATCAGGTAAGTTAAGTGTTTCCTGTAATCACTGAAGATGTGTGCAGCGTGAGAGCTTGGATGGAGACCTTTGGTGAACGTGTGTGTGTGCGTGTGTGTGTGTGTGTGTGTGTGTGTGTGTGTGACTCTTCCCCTCCTGTCAAAGAAATCAGGGAAAGATTTAGTCATTTTAAGACTAGACTATTGTGAAGATCTGAAGTACTTTGTATATACTGTTAATTATGTTTTTAATACTTCTTTAATGTTGGTTTATTGTTTGGTAGCTCATTCTAACTGGAAAGTTAAAACACTGACTTTCTTTTACCCACATTTCAGACTTGTAAGTTTCCAAACAGCTCTTCCCCCTTATTCAAGATAACATTTGCTTGTACTTGGTCAGAAAAAAGAAGGGTATAATACTCAGGAGTAGGGAAGTAGAAATTAGATCAAAGTTCCTAAATATGCCATTTGATATTGTTTCCTAATATTAACATCCCATGGATACCTGCCTGTCCTCTTTTTCTTGGCTTTGTAGGATCCAGTGACTGGCTTGCTTCCAGCCAGCTATGATCAGAAAGATGCTTGGGTCCGGGATAATGTGTACAGCATCTTGGCTGTGTGGGGCTTGGGCCTGGCCTATCGGAAGAATGCAGATCGGGATGAAGATAAGGCAAAGGCCTATGAACTGGAGCAGGTATGCAAAATAAAAATATAAAAAGATCCAGGGCTGTGTGGTATGTATGTACGATAGGGGGGATTGAAAGAAACATGTAGCCTAGCCCACAGGAATAATAGAACTGTATTTTGCCTTTCTCCCCCCCGCCCTTTTTTTTTCACCTTCCTAAAATTACATTTCAAAACTCTTTCCTGTATTGTACTGAATATTTTGGAAGTGGAAACTTGAAACTTGCTGATTCAGGGGAAGTGGGTACAGTCTGTTCTGTTGCAGTGGAAAATACTGTTGTGCCTGTGCTAAAATGTATCTCCTTTTTCTAAGTAAATGTCTTTTGCAGTCTCCAGCATATTTATTCTAATTGAGAAGTATGTTTTGTGGCAGGTATACACCATTTTACTTCATTTTTTAAAATGATAGTGATATTTGTTAGAGAGTGACCGACATATTTTCAGACCTTACCAACTGGACACAAGTAAAGACTGTTTATTTGTTGATTGTTATACTTATGACCACTGTTTCAGAGCTATGCTCCCCTTCCCTGGCAAAGTCACCAGTCAACAGATTTCTTTAAGCCAACTTTTAAGGCCCTTCCCTCAATGAAGAAGCATCCTTTATAAAATTGTTTAAACAGAGGGTGCTTTGTCCTTTTGAATGGCCAAAAAAACAATATTCTGGGCAAATAGGAATCTTAATGTTAAGATAGTCTGCTGTCAGTTGTAAGTTGCATGTGAATTCTTTTCCAAAGTGGGTAAGATTCTCTCTATACAAGCCATTTTCTCAAGTGATGTCTTTCAGATGTAGGCAACTGAGCTTTAGTTTTCTATAGATCAGAACTAGAGGTTTGGTGCATAAGATTCGTGCACTGTGTGTGTGTGTGGGGGCTGTCCCTCAGCCCAGCCTGCACCCTTTTGCAGTACACGGAGCCCTCAGGGGAAGTGTGATTGATGGCCAAAGTCAGACATCCTTAGCACTGCTATGGAGGCGGGCCGTTGGTTGAACTCACTAGCTGTCAGCCCAGCTTGTGGCTAAATGGCTCTGCACACCCCCCCCCCCCATGGGAGTGTCTGTCCCCTGGTGGTCAGTGTGCATCTTAGCGACCAGTTGTTCCACTATTCGGTTGATTTGCATATTACCCTTTTATTATCTATACTAATACAAGAGTAACATGCTAATTGACTATACCTTCGAGACACCCACCAGCCAATCAGGAATGAGTATGCAAATTAACCCAACAAAAATTGTGAGTTAATTTGCATACACAGGCGCTGAGCAGCTGGGGGCGGGGTGGGATGCTTGCACTGTCACCATGGTGATGACACAGGTGTTCCACACCATCCCAGCCACTCTGGGCCTCTGGACATCGTGGGAAGGCAGAAAGGTGGCTCCGGGCCAGAGCAAAAAGGTGGCTCCAGCTAGAGTGAAGGTGGTGCCAGCAGCCAAGGGAAGGAAGGCCCATTCTTGCACAAATCTTCGTGCATCAGGCCTCTAGTATAGGATATTGAGATTAAGGGCACCAACGTGTTCTGGGTTGTAATTCTTGACAATAGGGAAGTTTCATTGTTTTATCCTCCATAATAGTAGGCATTTGTTACTCTTTATGAGAATGACTTCCAAAGTTTCATCTTTTTAACTCTGACCCCACTTTAATGTCAAACCCTGATTTTCATTAGTCTTCTGACCAGTTGACCCTGCATATTCTGTAGCTTTTCAAACTCTTTATGTCTGAAATGTCTTCAACAAACAAAATGGACTATCAAACAACAGCAACTCTCTAAGCATTGTATTTTCTCTTGTGTCTTCAGTGTACTGGTTACCTGGACAACATTACTTAGAGCATTTTCCATAGTGTGTTCCAAGGAACACTAGGTCAATTAAGTTTGGGGCTATGTTAAATGGCAGATTTCTTTACTTCATAATTTCTCAGAGCCTTTGATATGCTAATGCATAGTAAAGTGCATTTGGAATCTAAGATAGGAATGGATTTGACAGCCTTTAAGAATTTCCTAGACTAGCATTCTATAAAACAGTGTTAAAAAAATGCTGTCATTAGGGTGATTTTTGACTGACCCCCCTTTGACTTTTGATACATGCAGACCAAAGTCTGTTGATTCTTATGATTTTTATTGAATCCATCCCCTCCTTTCTTGTCCCTTCTGCATCAACTCTAGTCTAAACCTTGCTCAATTAACACCGTTGTGAAAAACAACACTTAAAATATATTATTTCCACTCTCAACAATCTTTCTGTGGCTCTCATTTCCCATCAAGTAAAATCTAAATGTTTTGAATTGATAGGCAAAACTCTAGAGTTTAGTCCTAGCCAATTTTATGCCACTAGAGGCCCAGTGCATGAAATTCTTGCACAGGGTGGGGGTGGGGTGTCCCTCAGCCCAACCTGTACCCTCTCCAATCTGGGACCCCTCAAGGGATGTTGCAGTAGGACATCCCTCTCACAATCCAGGACTGCTGGCTCCCAACTACTCGCCTGCCTGCCTGCCTGATTGCCCCTAATCACTTCTGCCTGCCAGCCTGATCACCCCCTAACCACTCCCATGCCAGCCTGATTGATGTCTAATTGCTCTCCTGCCAGCCTGTATGTCACCAACTTCCCTCCTCTGCCGTCCTGGTCCTCCCTAACTGCCCTCTCTTGCAGGGTTGATTGCCTCCAACTGCCCTCTCTTGCAGACTTGGTCCCTCTCAATTGCCCTCCCTTGCAGTCCTGGTCCCTCCCAACTGCCCTCTCCTGCTGGCCATCTTGTGGTGGCCATCTTGTGTCCACATGAGGGCAGGATCTTTGACCACATGGGGGCAGCAAGCTTGTATGTTGGAGTGATGGTTAATCTGCATATTACTCTTTTATAAGATAGGATAGAGGCCTGGTGCACAGGTGGGGGCCAGCTGGTTTGCCCTGAAGGGTGTTCTGGATCAGGGAGGGGGTTCCCTTGGGGCATGGGGCGGCCTGAGTGAGGTGGTTGGCAGGCCAGCCATGCCCCCCACTTGCTACCCACACGGAGGCTCTGGTATCTGGAATTTATTTACCTTCTACAATTGAAACTTTGTAGCCTGGAGTGGAGACCAAGGCTGGCCAGGGCAGGTGGAAAGCTTGGCTTCCTCCATTGTCGGGGGCAACCCTAGCCTGTTCTCTCCATCTCCATGGCTGCAGCCATTTTTCTTGGGATTTATTTCTATAATTGAAACTTTGTATTCTTGAGTGGAGGCCTAGGCCGGCCAGAGTGTGTGGAAAGCTTGGCTTCCATTGCTGGGGAAACGGAAGCCTCTCAACTGTTCTCTGTGGCTGCAGCTATCTTGGTTGGGGTTAATTTGCATACTCACTCTGATTGGCTGGTCGGTGTGGCTGGTGGGCATGGCTTGTGAGGAGTGATGGTTAATTTGCACATTTCTCTTTTATTAGGTAGGATACTGGTAACATGCATTATACCCTCAGTTCCAACCAGATTAGTTTCTTTATTACTTCAACAATTCCTTAATAAAAATACCTGACATTTGTGTAAATACTTTTCATTGTACTACATACTTCCCCATAATTACTAGCATTTTATTCTCACAACACCCGGTAAATTAGGTATTATTTTCCCAAACTTACAAGTGAAGGGAATGAAGCAGGTTGGAATTTAGTGGTGGTATGAATACAACCTCAGTTTAATGACTTCAGATTGATTGAGTCTTTTTAAAAATTTTCCTACATGGAGGCCACCAAATTTTTTTAATGAACTTCTTCCATTTGTAATGCATGTTCCCTTCTAATCTGAACTAATACACTGCTTTCAAAGCTCAGCTCCAATCCTGTTCTTTTGTAACTCCTGTTTTCACAGAATACTCAGTGATAATTTCTTTTTCAGGACTACTTTCTTGGGATTTCTAGATTACTTATGGTCTGTGTGTCTCCCCCCCCCCCCCCCCCATTTTGAAGTAGAAGATTTTGTATAATTGTCATGTGCCAGGTCATGTGATAGATATAAAAAATAAAATGGAACAAAATGTTTATATTTAACTCTGAATTTTTATATTTAAAATTTTTAATGTATAGAAAAGTTGTAGGAAGAGTAAAGTGAACACATTTGCATGTACTCTTTACCTACATTCACTAATTGTTAACATTTTTATATATTTGCATCTTCCTTTTCTTTAAGCATGTGTATGTGCATACCATCTATTTGACAAGCCATTTGAGAGTTACTTGCAGGCATGAAAAATATACTATATATATATTTTTTCAAAATATAATCTGCTTAGTCCATTGATTTAAAGGTGTATTTCTGAATATTGTCTTGGAGCATTTTTCTTAAGGAATTCATAGTTTGATAGGGGAGACAGACAAATAGTTACAAAACATTAGGACAGATATTGTGGGTACTATCTATAGTGGAGATAAGTACAAAGTTCTGTGGGAGGTGTGAGTTTCCAATTCTCTTAAACAAGGCAAGCAAAGATTCAGAGGAGTTGGGTTTTAAAGGATAACTAGGAATTATTAAATAGACATGTTTGTAGTGTAGTTTGGTGTGTGCATGAGTGTGCATGTATTATAAAAAAACATGTGCTTTATATATTTATTTTTATTTATTTAAAAGCTTTATTGTTGAGAGTATTACAGATGTCTCCATTTTTTCTACTCATTGTGCCCTTCTACCCAGTTCCCGATCCTTCCCATGCCTTCATTACCCTATTGTTTGACCATAGGTAATGTAAATATGCAATATAAATTCTTTGCTTAATCTCCCCCTGCCCCACCTTCTCTCTGAAATTCATCAGCCTGTTCCATGTTTCCATTTTATTCTATTTTATTAATCAATTTATTTTGTTCATTAGCTTATTTATTTAATTTGATTTTCAGATTCAATTGTTGATAGCTACTATTTATTGCCATTTTATTTTTCATATTTTTAATCTTTTCTTCCTCCTCCTTCTTTTCTTCCTCTCTTCCTCCTTCCTTCAACATTTCATGTAATTAATACTGGTTTGGTGGTGATTAATTTCTTTAGCTTTTTCTTGTCTGTGAAG